CCGAAGTGCCACCTGCAGAAACCTCCCCCTCCCCCACCGCGCCGCACCGCGACCGGGGGAGGCGACCTGCCCGCCCCGGGGCAGAGCCACGTTCTCCTTTGTCCTGGAGGTTCTCCGCTCCGAGTCCCGGGGGGAGGTGCGAGGAGCTCAGGTTGCACTTGGCCAAAAGTTTAGTTTCCTGTGTGTCCCCGCCGCACAGCGGCAGCTTTTCCGGGATGGGTAGCTGCCTAACTGGACTTTTGATTCTCTGCGGCCAGTTACACAGTTAAAACAAAAGGGCTTCAAGCAGAAAGCCCCTCCTCGACACCACACTAAGCGCAAAGCTCACTGGGCAAGCCGTCTCGTTTGGTTCTTTTGAAAGCTTTGAAGTTAAGTATCGGAATACCCTCAGACTGTCGCATGGGAGAGGCTTGTGGTCCTTAGAAATTTGTCAACATAGTTGCCACTCTGGTCCTCAGAATGATCCTTTTCATCAGTGCGTTTTCTTGTTGGGGATGATTGGAACCGGCTTTGAAAGGCTTTCCCGGAGGGTTTCTAGCAGGAAAGCTGGTTATCGTGGGCTGGACATTGAATAGTTGACACTCGGAAGGGGTTACTATAAACGCAGTCCCCCCTTTTCTTTCTCTCGCTCTTCATTTGGTTTGGATGCTCTTGATGTTCCTCAAGTTCATTCTTGATCACCAAAGTGTAAAATACATGACGAGTTGGTGGCATCTGGTTGTTCCCTGTGAACTGAGGATCCCTCTGAACCTTTGGTGGTTCAGCTTTTCCTCTGAAGGAAACATTTTCCTTCGGTCTTGAAGGTCCTTATTTTATTTAAGTTTGCCTTTTGTTGATGACCCAAATCATGGGGAATCGGCAAGCTGAAGCCATTGGGATCCGGTGGGGTTGTTGCTAATGGCCTGGAATCATCACCAACCCTGTATTCCCGTCTGGGGCTTCCTGTGGGACCTCCTTCCTTCCTGGCACCTAATGGAATGGCCAGTCTTCCTGCCGCTGCCTTTTCGATGACTCTCCGTGGAAAGGGTGCGTACACTTAGCGCAGTGAGCTGGGAAAGACTGGTTAGTCTGTAAGACTGCTTGCTTCGAATATCTGCCACTTAGCACGGCCTCTGGAGAGAGGGTTGTGAGGTGAGATTGGCTTTTTAAAAATTTTAATTTGGTTCCATGTTAATGTACTTCTTATTTAGTAAATAAATGAATAAATAATAGTTAATAGACGAGATGGGAAATTGTCAGACACTTGTACTTAACAAACCACTTACTTGATTGGTCTTTTTAAATGGCATCTAGAAGAAATGGGGTTTATTTGAGATCTTTACATGTACAATCAAGATAAGATAACCAACTTCTGCCCGGCCAATGTTGCTCGGTGGTTGAGTGTCAACCTATGAACCAGGAGGTCACAGTTCATTTCACGCCAGGGCACATGCCCAGGTTGCAGGCTCAATCCCAAATAAGGGCGGTACTCTGTCATCATTATCTCTCCCTCTCCCTTCCTCTCTGAGATCAATAAAAATACATTTTTAAAAAAGATAACCAACTTCTTTTACTGTCATGGATTTTCCAAAGTTAGTGGAGGGCTGTAGGAAGGTAATAAAATTGATCTATTATACAGGTGTGCATACTTGCGATAGCACTTACTTTGAAGAGAGCGTTTTTAGGGGAAAACAACACCTTGTTAGTGAGTAAGCTCCCTAAGAAGGAAGGCCCTTGCATCTATAGTTGCACCTCATTAATGGCACTTAGGGTCACAAGGTGGATGAGTCTGACTTAGATATTAGGCATTCATATAGGGTTCTTTTCCTTGATTTTTTTAAAAATCTCTATTCCCTTTAAGTCGTGGGAAACTTAGAGACAGGAGCTCAGTAAATCCTGCCTAGGAATAGTCTTCTTGACAGATAAGAAATAGGCTGAATATGAAAATTGTAAATTGGTGAATAAATGTTAGTAAAAGTTAAGCAGATGACTTGGCTGTTGCCATGACTTCACATCCTGGAAACAAATGAAGATCCAGAAATAGAGAGTGATGTCATAGGTCTTTGTTTATTTGTTTATTCTTGCCCTAAGCACTGTGATTAAGAAGTTTTGGGGTCTTGGCTGCATTGCTTATTTTTTATGGCTTACTGTTTTGATTGGCAGTTTATTCCCTTTAGGGTAGCAAGCACATTGGAAGGCTGCTTCCTCTGCTGATAGAAAAATCTGCTAAGTTCTCTGTTTTGATTTTTACAAAAAGAAAAGCACCATTAAAAATAAACAACCCAACAACAAGCGACGTATGTGTAGATGATTTCTTTAAAACTTACCTTAGGGTAGTCAATGTCACATGTTTTTTGGCAATCTGATAAGGAAACAGGCTCAGAGGTAAATCAGGTGACTCGAGGCCACTTTGGGGCAGAATTGGGGGGTTATTTGAGCTCATTGCTCAATGTAATTCATGACTGGGCAATCCTGTTATTAATATGAAATTCCTACAAAACACAATGACTAGGAATATGGATTTATTACTTAGGTTAATGAAGTTGACAGATTCTAGTTTAAAAAAGGAGATTTTATTTTTTAGTAACAGCACTGATCTTTTTAAACCGTTGCTTATGTTAGAACCTTTCTTTTACAGGTAATTTATCTAACAGGCTATATCAAATACCAAAACTTCCATTTTAAGCCTTTTTTCCCCTCTCAGTTCAGAGGGAAAAAAGGCTTAAAATGGAAGTTTTGGTATTTGATATATAATCTATAAAACTACCATCCTGTAACTCCTTAAATTCCTTCACTTAGGACATGTGTATCCAAAAAAACCCATTCACCAGTTACTGTTTCCCAAGTCATACTTGTTGGAAAATATGTTTGTCTTGGTCTTATGATGAACTATGACATCATAGTTTATTTCTGGATCTATTTCCATTGTCTTCCTGATTTGAGGTTGTGGTTAGGAAGTAGTTTTTTCATCTCTAATCTGGAGCTGCTGGTCAGATGATTGATGTATTTCTGAAGTTGATGGATATTGTAAATTGTTCATGCTCAGAAGTACATATTAGGTGAATTGACTTATTTTAGAAATATTTGTGTGTTCTTTTATAACATAATCATGTTTTCTTAAATAAGTTTTGGGTTTTTATGACTGGATTCCCCTTAAGTAACTACTAAGATTCTCAAGTTAAATATTTGCATCGATAGCTGCAAAGTTTCTTACCTCCACCTTTGTTGACTTCCCAGGTGGCCAGCATCGAAATATTCAACCTTTCAGTGATGAGGATGCATCGATTGAAACCATGAGCCACTGCAGTGGCTACAGCGATCCTTCCAGTTTTGCTGAAGACGGTATGCCTTTTCCATTCCGTTGGCAGTTTAGGCCGATGCTTTTGTGGGGGGGTTCTTGTGCCCAAGGTGTGCTAGCACTGTCCCCAGCTGCTCTCCTGCCACTTGACTGACAGCGGCTGGCTGGTCCCTGTTGTTCCCTAGGACCAGAA